AGCTGTTGCATCCTCATGCAGTCCTGCAAACCCAGTGGTGTGGGAATGGGTTGGAATGATGCAAGAACACCTGAAGCCATCACTGTGGCACCAGGCCCCGATGTCCCCCATGTTCCCAATGGGACAGGCAGAGGAGAGGGCTCTGGTGACTCACACAGGTCCAGAGCCTTCCTCTGTCCCCACACTGATGACCCCATCGCTGCAGAGCCCTGATACTGCAGTGCTGAAATTCAGGCATTGCACAGCAGCCGCAGCACTTCACCACATTCTCTGGCTCTGTGACAATATCAATGTCTCCTTATCATTAAAATACAGAATTTTCATATTTTAGAGTGCAATTGTCCCAAACTTTGCTCTGGCAAACACCCATGTGGTTTTCTAGGGGGTGAAATGTGTGTGGCCACGGGGCATGGGGGCTTCAGGCTGCCCTGAGGTCTGGCTGGCCACTTAACTACTTCTGGCTGGGAAACTTAACTCTTCATGAAAAGCTTCTCCTTGAGCTGTTGGAGAGATTGTCAGACGAGTCAGAAAGGATGAGAAGGGATCCTGGAAAATCTCAGCTCAGTGGACAAGTGGTCAAGGTCCAGTGGGGTGAGCTGGGATGAATCCAGAGCAGAAAAGCCCATCCTCACTCATACCTTCACCCTCCCTTCAAAACCTCCCTGTTCCCTTTTCTGGTGGGGGACCACAGGGAATCATGGTGATTGCACGTGCTTGGCCAGACCAGCCTTAAAAATGGTCTCTTTTCCCTTTATGTGTGCAGAGCAAATTCTCATTTATTGAGGTTTTCTCAGCGGGTTGGCCACTGTACAGATCTATAGGATATTAGTGCCTGTAAGGCAGCACGGTTTTATAACACACCAATTCCAGCTGTGGCCCTTGGGAAATACTCAGTCTTTGGATGATTTAGAAGGAAATCTGGTGGGATGTTTATTGCCTTCGTGCTACACAGGCAGCATAGGCAGGTGCTATTTTAATTTCTCCATCAGCAGCTTCCTGCAGTCCATCTTTACTGAGGGTGCAGTAAAAACAAACTCTGTGGTGTCTGTACCATTATGTGCTGAGCTCTGAATAAATTACAGAATAGAATAGAATAGAGCAGACTATTTCAGCTGGAAGGGACCTACAGTGACCACCTAGTCCCACTGCCTGACCAATTCAGGGCTGACCAAAAGCACGTTACTAATGGCACGATCCAAAATCGTGTGGCGATAGGTGATAACACCCTGTAGATCTATACTATGCCTGTATGTTTAAACTCCCATCATCCAGATGCTGTGCAATGCATCCCACGGGCTGGAGTAGAGCGGAGGAGATGCTCCACTACGATTTTAGGTGCCCTCAACCCTTAAGAGATGCGTCCCTCTTACCTGGGATCTGGAGGCAGATGCAGAGATGGAGCCACGGCCGGGCCATGGCGGTGGAGTCACAGTGACAGAGGGGTTTGTGCCAGCTCCCCCTTCTCCACCCACGGTCACCTCCTGCTGGAAGGGATGGCTTCACCTCAGCAAGTTCTTCCCCGTCCCGCCGCAGATGTCTCACCAACGGCTGCCAAAGCACATCTGCCACGGCAGCACCTGGAGCCTCAGCACGGCAGCTTCTTCCACGCTGAGCCCCACGTCCAGCACTGCACGGGGCACCCTCAAACCCTCTTTCGGAACATTTAAAAGAAATAAAAAACTAATTGATTTTTAATTATGATTTCTTCATATTTCACCACCTAGTTATTCTTCCTTCTTTTAACCTACTTCTATGCAATTTAAAAAAAAATGACTAATGCAGGAGCTCGGCATTGAAGACAAAAGCAGGGAAGGATGAATTTCGGCTGGTTTCTTCTCTGCTGAAATCAAAAAGCATTCAAAATAAGGAAAAGATGCAGTTTGCTCTGGGGGGCTGTTTTCTTCAGCAGAATTTTTAGCAGGAGGCGTTTTTCTCTGGAAAATGCTGAACACCAGACCAACCCGCCATAAAACAGAGATGTGAGGCATCACAGAAAACTTTGAAGTCAAGAGCAAGAAACCTCAAACAAATTTGTGGCTGAAAAACCACAAAAATAAGGAAATTCTGCTGGGGCTCCCCACCTCACAGCATGTGCTGTTTTAGTAGCTGTGACAGCACTCTGAAATATGCAGAATGTCATGATATTATCATTCAAATGATAAAATATCAGAGTGGCTTTGAAATGTCTTTGTGAGGAAGAGGTTTGAAGCGCTTGGGGTTCGGGATTCAGAGAGGGAAATACATAATGTGAAACTAAAGGGGTGAGCTGGTGTCAGCAGCCTTCAATATTTGCATGATCAGGAAAAAAAAAGTAAATTATTTATTACTTTTATTTATTTACTGCCCTCTTTGCTGCCAAGTGAGGTTCAGTTTTATGTCCCTCTCGTGCAGATACTTGAGATCTTTAAAACACCCCAGCATCTCCCCAGGAAGGGGAGTCTCATGTGGGGCCACTGAGAAACATCCCCCAGGGTTGGGTGGCAGATGAATACAAAAAATTATATTGCATCTTCTACACTGTAAGTTTTTGGACCATTTTGTACTACATTTTTCCATGATGATGTAACACATCCTCTCCCCTTTTCTGTTTAAAATAATTTCCTGCTTGAAGCTGGTTGCTAACTGCAAAAGCCTTGCCACAAAGCGCTCAGGTGCTAAAATTTAGGGTGGGCTGAACTGCTCCTTAACTCTTTCCTGGCAGGAGAAAGTAATTTTGGTGTTTTCAAAGCCATTTCAGTGCTTTTAAGCTCTTGTTTTCAAGAGCTGAGCCCCTGACGTGGGATGAGGAATACTTGCCTCTCCCCTCCTCACCTCCTGCTCATCTGTCCCCTTTTGTTTCACATCACTCTCAAATTGGGGCCTGCCCAGAATGGGGCAAAACACCTCTTTTTTTTGCATGGGGGGAGGGCAGTGAGTGCTTAACATGAGAAATACTTCTGCAAGTGAATTTTCCCTTTATCCCTGTGGGGAAGTCAGTGAAATGAGCCCAGGATCCCTGGCTGTAGCAATGGCTGTGTCCCTCTTTTCTCACTGTCACCTGGAGCATCTTCAGGCTTCCTGGCCAGGACAAGAGTTTGTCCAAGAGGTGGCTTTTGTCACCACTACAACCTTGAACACGGGGATGTTACGGTGGGATGATTCCCCAAGGCATTATAGCAGCTTCCCTGCAGCACTTTCACCCATGGAAAGAAAAAGAAATTCGTGCAATGTAAAAGCTGGAACAGGGATTAAGTTCCATTTTTTTTTGAAGCTGTTGTTTATCTGCAGTGAAACCGTTTACTGACTGTTCCCAGGACTGGGTATCGCTCCTGCAAGAAAACATTTTGCAGGAGGGATGCTTTTGTCTGGCAGTCCATCGCCAACAAAAATCAAAGCGCTGTGGGAACGTGCAGGAGACAGCTGCTGTTTATGACATCCCCACGTTGTTTGGGGCTGCTGTCCTGGGAAGAAAGTAGGGGAGGAAAGAAGGGTGCAAGTTGATCTGATCTGCACACATAAGCAAGGTTTGTTGGTGACCTTGCTGGGGCACAGCGGCTCCTAATCACGAGTGTTTGGCTAACGGCTGGGCCAAGGTGGGGGGGATCGCTGAATTTTGGTGCTTTTGCACAATTTTTGGGGTAGTTTTATCCTTTTTTTGACATTTAAAGACAACCATCCCTGTCCCCAGCCCAGCCAATTCCCTGTGGACCCATACCAGTGGGAAACAGCCCCTCTTCTTCTTCCCCAGCCTGCATCCTGGCTACCTCACAATTCTGACACTCACTCCTGGTGCTTCATTGCATTTTTTACTCTCTCCTTACTCCCTGTGATGAGTTACCTACAGCAAAGTGTTTCTTTTGGGGGGCTGGAGCAAAGCATGAAAAACAAGGTTTACAGCCAAGAAGCAGGACCTGGCTGGGGTTTCATCTCTGTTAAACTCCCTTGCAGAGGTAACTGCAGCTGGGCTGTAAATTTAGGGCCAGAGAAAACAGCTGCAAGAAAAATAGGGGAAAAATGCATTCTCTCTGTGCTTTTGGGGCTACGAGGGCTGACTTTTGGGGTCAGGGAAGGTTGCTCAGCCCCAAGTCTGGTCCAACACTGTCCAACTGGGCAATATCTAGAAATAAGGGCCTGTTGGGCATAATGAAGTACAGGACAGAAAATCCCTGGGATTCAAGCAGGGATGATGTGAATACGTGAATATTTTTTTTTCCATTTTTAATTTTTTGAAATGGTTTTATTCCCAGGAAGGGTGTGGCTCCTGGAGTATTTCATGAGGGGCAAAAGCAGTGATGAAAATGATAGCATTTTCACTGAGTCAGATCACAGAATATGCCAAGTTGGAAGGGACTTAAATGGATCACTGAGTCCAACTCCTGGCCCTGCACAGGACTCTCCCCAACCTTTTACTTTGTGTGATAGTAGAAAAAAATCCAAAACAAAATAAGTGGGTCAAATTTTCTAAACTGCTGCAAGCTAAGATGCGGTTTGTAGGATGAGTTTGGGGGGCCTTTGCAGGTGCAGATTTACAGCTGTAATTCAGCTGAAGCAATATCACAGCTGAGGCTGCTGACATGTCATGGGCTTACCCCCAAGGTACATGCCAGTGTATGAGGAGCTGGGCTGTGGCATGGAAAAATGCTGCTTTTAAAACCAGATGCCAAAATGGATCTAAATGATGAACTGAGTAAATTTTCCTGCCATTTCACCCCCCTCTTGGCAAACAGATCTGTGCTTGGGGGGTGGTTTGGAGGGACTGTGTGTGTTAGAGGTGTCAGCTGTGAGCCCCGTGTGTGATCTCCCCCCAGATCCCAGGTGCTAATGGGGTGTGCAGCAAATGAGGGGGCCACGGGGGATTTGGGAGGATGGACACTGAGAGGACAGGCTCCAGCTCTCCCTCTTCAGGACACTTGGTGCAAGCAGAAGTTAGCGTGAGCGAGTGGTGACTAATCCTGGACCCCCCCAAATAGATAAGGGGCAGAGCAGGTGCTGCCGTTTGATTTCAACTTCCTAATCAGTGTTGAAGAGGATAAGGAAAGACAAGGGAAGTGTCCTTGGGAAGGCAGCACGCGGAGGAGGAAAAGCCACCGAGAAACTAAACACAGGTGTTATTATCCCAAAACAACGACCTGCCATGGCTATAAAAATCACCGGGCTGAGACGTCGGGACCACCTTTCCCTCAAAGGTGCCAAATCTGCTGGAACTCTGCAGCGACCGTCTCCATCTTCCCCGGACTGCCAGGACATTCAGCCAAGGATTGGTGAGATCTTATTACTGGGGTCCTACTCTGCCTCTGCCTTGCTTCTCCCGCTCCCACATCCCTTCCCCGTCCCCTTCCCGGGAGCTGCCGGGTCGCGGCAGCTGCCGGCTCGGCCGCGGCCACCCTTTCCCACCTTCCCCACCTTGCCCTTCCCCCGTGCCCGGGTTCGGCGTCTCCCCGGGGGTTTTTTTCGGACGGGAGGGTCGCGGGGTCGCAGCCTTGCTCCGAGGGTGGGCCGGCGGTGCGCTGGTGTTATGGTAGCTTTGCCCTGAGACGGAGCCGTCTCAGATCCCGCGCCCCGTTCACCATGATGACCGACATCGTTAGCAGCTGGAAGCTGGAGCAGTTCGTGCTCCAGAAGTGCCTCCCCGCAATTTGGTCCCCGGGGTCCTTCCAGGGCCCCGAGGCTTACCAGCAGCTCTGCCAGCAGTGGGAGAGCTGGTCGGAGGAGAACAAAAAGCCCAAACCCACGAACAAGTGCAAGAAGCGGGCAGCTTTGCAGGGTTTGTTGATGGTGGGCAGGGAGTTGTCCAGGTTGCTGAAGGAGGCTCTTGAGAACGTGCAGTCCTTGGAGCAGGACAAGGCTGAGCTCAAAATTCAGGTGGACAACCTGCGGGCGGAGGTGCAGGGTCTGTGTGGGGATTCTCTGCGGAGCGCCGTGGAGATCTCCCGGCTGGAAAACAGGCTGGGGTATGAGAAGATGAAAGCGGAGGAGCTGAAGAAGGAGGTTGGCAGGTGGATGGGGGAGACCCACGACGCGCAGAGCGCGGTGCGGGCGGTCCTGCAGGACGCCCAGCGGGACCGGGGCACTGGCCCTGATCACAAGGTATGCCATGCCAAGATCCAGGAGCTGGAAGCAGAGCTGGGGGTGTCGAGGGGCATTGTGGCTGCCATCAAGGGCAAGAGGAGCCAGATTGGGAATGGGGAGGGGGAGGACTCCCTGGACACGCACCCACCCCACTATGATTATGAGGATGATGTGTGGGGTGCCAACGGCCCCACCAGGCCGTCCCCTTATGCTCCTCTGCGGGAGGAGGTTTGCCAGCTGCAAGCAGGGGAGGCAGAGGCTTCCAAAGACAAAAAGGCCCCGCACGAGGAGCCGGTCAGCCACGTCCCACTCCAGCCCATAGACACCAATAGGGCTGTGCTCTGGTTTACCCCTGAGCAGCTCAAGACGGTAGGGAAGATGCTGGGGCCACTGTCAAAGGAGACAGCCATCAACTGGCTGTCCAGGGTCCAGCGTCTGCCCAAGTGCCAGAGCGGCAACTTTGTGAGTGACCTGATAGACGTTGTGAGAAAGTGCATGAAACCAGATGATTTCGCGGCACTGCCGGGGGATGTGCAGATGGGCAATGTCCAGGACATCAGGGATGTGCAGCTGGCCGTGCTGAAGGTGTTCTTCCCAGAGGTCAACCCCTTAGTGCTCTTCCACCAGGAGAAGCAGAACCCCGAGGAGCGGCCGGATGCCTACGTTAACCGTAAGAAGATGCTCTACCAGATGGCTGGGCTGCCTGGATCAAAGGACTCCCCTCTTGATTTTGACAAGCCTGAATTCAAGGAGCCGCTGGTGGTGGGGCTGACACCCCCCCTGCGGGTGATCGCTGGTGGGGATGCGGCCAAAAAGCCGCTGTCGGAGCTGGAGCAGATCCTGACCCAGAATTTTGAGCTGCAAAAGCAGGCATTCCCGGGGTACATGGTGGGAGGGAAGAAAGGGAAACCCTCGGCCATGCCTTTCCAAAATGCAGGGATGAGAAAAATGCAAGGAGACAACCGAAAAGATCTTGATGGCAAAGGGGGCTTGGGGAAGGAGAACCAGCAAGGGATGAGGTTTCAGAAGTCCAACCCTTGGCGGGCTGAGCTGAGGAAGCGCTTGATAAAATACGAGAAACAGGAGGACATCGATGGCTTGCCGGATGCGGAGCTCTTCCAAAAACTGGCCCTGCACGAGGCCAAAAAGCACAGCAGCTCCCACCCGATTGACCCGGGGTCTAAGGCTCAGCAATAGGGCTGCCAGGCACCTGCATCGCCCCTTTTTGTGGCACCAATTAACACCGATTTGTGGGGGCGTCCGATAGTTGATACAACTATTGGAGGAGGGGTGCTTGGACAGGTGATGTTAATTGATACTGGTGCCTCTTATTCAATTCTGAATGTGGCCCCCGGCAAAGCCGGGATCTTCCAAACCTCTGAAATTATTGAACTGACAGGGCCAGATGGCCAAAAATCCCCAGTGCTGTTCACAGGGCCCGTACCCTTTGAAATTGGGACTGCCAAAGGGTCTGAAAAATTTGGGAAAATGGAAATAAAGGGAAAGCTGGGAATTTTAGCCATCTCTGCACTGACAAAGATGGGAGTGGTGGTGGACTTGGCAAACCAAGCACTGCTACACTGCCCTCAAATTGATGTGCCTGTCATCCCGGCAAGCCATAGGGTGATGTCAGTGAAAGCCCCTGAGCTCCTGGTCCACCCTGAGTGGGAGCCCCGAGTGAAACGGGTCACGGAGCAGTTCCCCCATGTCTGGGCAAGGAGCAAGCTGGACTGCGGGCAGATTGATGCTGTCGTGGCAGTCAAAGGGCCGGATCCCCCTCCTCAGCCTCAGCCCTGGTACCCGGCTGAGGCTGAGGACAGCTTGTGGGACACAGTCAAAACCTTGCTGGACCAGGGTGTCCTGGTGGAGCAGCAGAGCGCCTGCAACGCCCCGGTGTGGCCCCTGAAGAAAGCTGATGGGAAAACGTGGAAGCTGACAGTTGACTTCAGCACCCTGAACAGTGTCACCCCACTGCAGTCCTCCACAGTGGTCAGGTACCCTGCCATCCTGGCAGCCATCTCCCAGGGATCCAAGTGGTTCTCGGTGCTCAACCTGACCAGCCCATCGCTTGCCATCCCCTTGCTCCCCGAGTCCTGGCACAAATTTGCCTTCACCCTTCAAGGACGGCAATTTGCTTTCACCAGAGTCCCTCCTGGTTTCCACAATGCCCCTGCCATCTGCCATGCACACGTGGTGAAGATGTGGGAGCAGCTCGGCCACCAGGAGAGCGTGCTGTCCTGTGCTGGTAACGTCCTCATCCACACCCGGACCAAGGAGAAGAACCTGGAGGTGCTGGCAAAGGTGCTGGAGGCTGTCCAGAAGACAGGCTTCAGGATCAACCCCACAAAGGCCCAGCTGTGCTGGAAGGAGGTCTCCTTCATGGGGGTGACCCTGGGGGAGGAAGGGCGCTCACTGGAAAAGCAGAGGGTTGAGCTAATACAGAAGATGTTGGCACCATCTGATGCCACCACCCTGAGGTCCTTCCTGTCTCTCCTGAAGTTATGCCGTGAGTTCATCAAAGGCTACGCAGAAAAAGCAGCCCCCCTCTGCCACCTCCTGAGAAAGAACACCCCCTGGGAATGGGGGCCAGAGCAGGACCAGGCAGTAAAGACCTTAAAGGAGAGTGTGGCACAAGCTCCCGTGCTGGCACATCCTCAGGGAGACAGCCCCTATGTTCTGCAGCTGGCCTGCACGGGGAGGGGGCTTCAGGCCTCCCTGGGGCAGCAACACAGTGCCGACATGCTCCCTGTTGCCCACGCCTCGCGCCTCCTGACGCCAGCAGAGCAACAGTTCACTGACTATGAGAGGGAGGCTTTAGCCCTGACCTGGGCCCTGCAGCACTGGGAGTACGTGGTGGGGTCAGCTCCAGTGCTGCTGAGGACCTCCTGCACCCCTGTGACGTACCTCTTGTTGGGGAAGAGGGATGAGGGTCCCCTGCACTACCCCAGGATGGCCATGGCCAACTGGGCGTTGTCACTGACCAGCAAGGAGATCCCTGGGGACCCCTCTCCCGGTGCCTACAGGGTGGTAATCAGTGGAGAGAGGGATGGGCAGGAGCCGGCAGGCCCCCTTACTGAGCCCAAGCCACAGCGGGCAACCCTGTTTGAGAGCAGCCTCAGCCTGGAGCAGGCCAAGGAGAGAGGCTACGTTGTGTGGTTCGTAGATGGGTCCAACTACCACGAGGAAGGGGTGCCCTACACGGGCTATGCCGCTGTCAACTGGGGCACGGGGGAGGTGGTGAAGGGGAAGTGCCTGCCGCACTCCATCCAGGCCGCCGAGCTGGTGGCCGTGATGGCCGCCCTGGAGAACACACCGGCAGACCAGCCCCTGGCCATATTCTCAGACTCGGGCTGGGTGGTGCGCGTGGTGCTGGAGTGGCTGCCGCTCTGGAAGGAGAGGGACATGCAGTCTGCCGATGGCAAGCCTGTCACCTACGCCAAAAAGCTGCTGTACCTCGCCAGGCTGGCGGAGCAGAGGGCCTGCCCAGCCCAGATCATTAAGGTCAAGGCCCACAAGAAGGGGACAGAGGAAGCCAAGTGGAACAAGGAGGCAGATGCCAAAGCCAAGCAAGGTGCAAAGGAAGGGCTGATGTGGAAGGCCAGCAAGATTGCAGAGAGCGGCCCTCTGTCAGTGGTGCCCAGCAGGCACTGGGAGAGTGTGGATCTGGTGGGCTTGCAGGCACAAGACCCCAGGCTCCAGGAGTTAGCACAGGGCAAGGAGTACAAAGGGTGCAAGGTGTGGAAGGATGTCTCGGGGCTGGTCCTGGCACGGAGGGAGGGGGCGGACTATCCAGTCTGGGTGGTGCCTGAACTTGTCCGGACGGAGCTGGTGGCCCTGGCTCATGAGCAGGGGCATTGGGGTACAGACAAGACCATGGTGAGGCTGCAGGGTGTTGGGTGGTGGCCTGAAATGAAAGAGGACGTGGAGAGGTATGTCAGCAACTGCCTGACGTGTGCAGCCAACAATCCTGATGCCAAAATGGCCAAAGCCCTCCTGGGCCCCCAGAGGATTTCCGGGCCGTGGAGCAAGTTGCAGATGGAGTTTATCGGCCCTCTGCCCCAAACAGCCCACGGCAACAAGTACTGCCTAGTGATCAGTGATAACTTCACCAAGTGGGTGGAAGCATTTCCAGCTCGAAACAACACGGCCAGTGCAACTGCAAAGATCCTGGTAGACCATATTTTCTCACGGTGGGGCATCCCAAAGGAGATCGACTCAGACCATGGCCAGCGCTTCATCGGAGAAGTCACAAAAGGGGTGTGCCAGGCCCTGGGAATCAAGCAAAAGCTTCACATCACAGGGCATTTCCAGAAGCCCACCTCAGCAGAGGGGCCCAATCAACCACTGAAGACAGCACTGAGGAAGCTCGTGAACCAGCAAAGAAAAGACTGGGATCAGAAGGTCCCACTGATCCTGCTGGCGTTACGGGGGGCCATGGCATCTCAAGCACTTTCTCCCCAAAAATTGCCTCCTGCAAGAGACCCGAAGCTTCTGGAACACTGGTGGCAAGGAGGGGAGCCCCCGGCTGAACTGCAGCCCCGCGTGCTGATGGACAGGTGGGTCCAGGACATGCTGAGGACAGTGTCAGCCACATACCACCAGCTCCCCTCAGTGCAGGAGACCAAAATCCCCAAGATGGAGAAGCAGCTGGGAGCGCTACTGCGCCCCACGGAGTGGAACACAGGGGACCTGGTAATGTATCGAGGGGTTAGAGAGAAGAACGAGGTGCTGGAACCCCAATGGATGGGGCCCGTTAGGGTCGTGAACAAGGCCAGCCCCTCCGTGTACCAGGTAGAAATCAGAAAGGGGACAAAAAGGCAGGGAAAGTGGCTCCATTCTTCACAATTAAAAGCATGGAAGGGAAACTAACGGGGTTGGAGAGCCCGCCTTGCTTATGTTTTGCAGATAAAGGAAAATGGAAGGCGATTGTGACCGGCGGGAAGGGCGAACTTCGTGGCATCACCAGACTTGTTTTTGCTGCGGGGAAAATGCTTTCAAATCTCTGATTGCAGGATTTACTTTGCTTTCTGGTATGTGCATAGTGCTGAGCACCCAGTGTGCCCAACCGATGCATCAGCACCTTGAACAAACAGTCATTAGTTCCCACTTGGAAAGGCACCACGACAGACAGGCCACAGCCCAGCACAGGGTTAGGAGGTACACAAAAGCCGGGACCAATTGGCCCTGGTCTCAAGCTTACATAAAATACACAGGAAGCATGGGGTTAAATCCTAACGCAGGCTTAAATTTGTCAACGGTGGTTATGCATGGGACAGAGGTGTACTTGGAAAATGAGTGGAGCTGGGATAGCACAAACAGACTTCCACAGCTGCTGGGGACGGTGGGACAGCAAATAAAGGTGGGGTGCAGGCTAATTAACGCATCCACTCACCAACCAGTAAATCAAATCTCTGTAACTGAAGTAAAAACTAATAAGAGTCAGAAAAAAACCTGTGCTGTGGAAAAACTGGACTGCTGGTACAATTTTACTTTGGTCCAGCCAGTCTTTGTGGTCTGCCTCTGGGCACAACACAGCGTGGGGCTGTCATTTAAATTCAAGATCAGCACCACGACACCCTCCTTTGCTGCCGTTAAGATCTCAAAGTGCCATTATTTGGCCTGGCATGCAGCCCCATATGTTGAAATTGGCAACCAGGTAAAATTGGAAATTAAATACTCCCAAGAAAGTGTAACTGATCCGATGCAAATTGATGGCACCACTGTGACTGTAACTGCCCCGAACGGCCGAAAGTGGGTCGTTCCAGTGAGCTGCTTCCCCGAGAACAAAACACTTAATAGATCTGAATTAGGCATGGAAGCTTCATGGTATAATCAGAATTATGGACGCTGTCCACACCTGCTCATAACCCTCCAGGTATGGTGTCAAGGAAACCTGAACGTAGAAATGTCCCACGAGCTTGGAGGAAAGTGGTGGATAGGAGGCCCTGAAGGATTTAAAAAGGAGTTTTCCATCATTGCTGTCTTGCGCCCTTTTGTTTCCAAAATAGGCCCTTATGTAGTGAAGAAAAATCACGTCCAAGAGCTGTTGACTGGCCCGGTCCGGTCACTGAAGAAGGTGGTGGTGTCTCTGTCCACTGTTAATATTTCCTCTGTCAGACCACACTGTGCCCCCTTCCTGTCCACCCTCCACACGGGCTGGCAGGCGTGGCTGCACAGCCGCTCCCTCCAGGGCAGGGCCAGGAGAGACCTGCTGGCCACAGCGCTGGGAGGAGGAGGCGCTGGGCTGGGAATCCTCAACAGCATGAATGCTGAGGTCTTGGCAAACAAGCTGGAGGCTGTCACCTCGGGTGTACAGAGCCTCTTCAAGCCTCTGAATTCATCCCTGACCAGCCTTGGGATGGGCCAGTGGCTCGTGTCAGAGGTGTTGCCCACATGGGAACAAATAGATGAGAAAGACCATCAGGTGCTGTTGCGAGCGCTGGGCATTGAACAAAGTAACGTATCCCTCGCTCTGAGCTGCATCCAGGCCCAGATGTGGGTGCAGAGTGTCGTTGCAGGTATCCTGAGAGACGGCGACAACGGCGTCCTCCCCACCGAGATCCGAAAGATTGTGTGGGACGCGGCCACGGAGAAGGAGCGGCAGCTCCAAGCCTGGTGGAGGCTTGTCAACTTCACCCATGACCAGGCCCTCAACGCAGTCGTTGCCCACGTCCTCACCGTGGCGGAGGCTCGCATCGAAAAGGTCTACCCCATCGTGGCCCTGGGGGTTAACACAAACGGGTCTGTGGTCTACCCCCTGGACCACCGCATGTGGGCGAGGGTGTCTGGTGGGAAATGGCAGACGGTAGATCTGGAAGCCTGCATTTTGGAAAGGGGGCTGGGGTTCATATGCGAAGATGATGCCCTCAAGGCGAGTGACGTGTGCTTTGACACCAAAGAAGGGGTGTGTCATTTTGAGATCAATCCCCAGAGCGGTAATAAAACCATGCTAGTGTATGTAGGGAAAGGGTGCGTGTGCTTCAGAACGATGTGTAAATACGTGCAAATTAATGAAGCTTATAATCAGACCGTGTTTAATAACTCAAATATGTGTGCTTGCAATGTAGCTACTATTAGAGGCTGTGATTTTGTGTATAAACCACCTGTGTTTACTAGCCAGTTGCTAATCAGAAACTACACCTTGTATCGTAGTATAACCCCCACCCCCATCGGTATGGATTTGTCCCTTGTAAAAGAAATGTTAGAGCATGAAAATTTACAGCAGCTGTTAGAAAATGCCAAGGCCAAAGCTAAAAAGATCCTAATAACTGTTCACCACGATGGCAATGTTATAAAACAGGTAATGGAGCGAATTAAGAGGGCGGGAGATCACCACTGGTGGGAAATTTTTTTCGGCTGGTCCCCCACAGCCACTGGCATTTTCAACACGCTGCTGCACCCCATTGTAGTTATCCTGCTAACGCAGATCGGTGTGTGCTTTGCTATGGTAGCCACTTGTTACTGGATGAGGCAGGTGAGGCTCTGCATTGAGAAACAGGTGGAAACTCTGGAGATAGCCAAGCGCATCCTTCCATAGTCAAGGGCAAGACTGGGTTGGCCTCTGTGTTTGCCACCAAGAAGAACTCCTGGCTCCGCTGTTGGCTGCAACCCAGTAGGCGTTGAGCGGTGGGGACACATGCCATGCCAGACCTTGATGTGAAGGATGGCCACCTCTGTTCTTAGAGGGCCGTCCAGGAGAGGACAGGCCAAGCAGCCTGTAGTTGGCAAGAATCACAGAATGGTTGAGGTTGGAAGGGACCTCTTGAGTCCGAAACCACCTGCTCAAGCAGGGTCACCTAGAGCAGAGTGCCCAGGATTGGATCCAGCTGGGCTTTGACTATCTCCACAGACAGAGACTCCACAACCTCTCTGAGCAAACCTGTGTCTCTATTTGTTCACCCTCACGGTAAAAATGCAATAGTTAGGATAAATAGCTTGTTTTTGAACCTCTCATTCCTAAATGCTAATGCAAAGAAGCTGCTCTTGTGTGATTTAAGACTCCTTAAGCAGAGGAGACGGGGGCAAAGAAAGCCAAGGACAGTGGTTTTGGAAGGAAAGAGAAGAAAACGTAACACCTGATCTCGGCAAAGCACCCACTGAAGACAGCAGGGGTGTGACCAGCCTCAAAGACTTGGAAAGACAGTAAAAGACGAGCAGAACCGGAGACCCCGCAATCACCTTGGACTTACAGGAGCTGAATCCACATGGACCTTTGCAGAAACTTCCTCCAGGTTCCCATGACTCCCAGGACGTCTGGCCAATTCTGGCCAATGGATTGGTGAGATCTTGTTTTCTGAGCCTGGACATCACCGCTTTGCTTTGCTTAGTTGTGCATGTACTCAATAAATCTGCCTGTTAGAGAATGGACTGACTGTCTGTCTGTCTGTCTGTTCATTCAGTCACTGCCTCTCAGCTTCTCACTGCCCAGGCTTGTAGCTTTGGCTACGCTGGTAAAGAGAAACTCTGGTAAAAGGAAAAGATGTGGGTTATTTCTCTTTTATAGGTCCAAATCCCTCACTTGCCTTTTGTCGGCAGACTGTTCACTGAAACACAAAGTTTCCTCCCTTGGGCTGAAGAGGGGGGCTCTGAGACTGGTGCACAAACCCACTTCCCTCTCCCATTCTGCCTCTCCCAACCTGTATCATTCCCCAGCCTCTGAATCCAGAAGGAGCCTTAAAACATACATATGGGGTCTCAAATAATTTTAAAATATTGGAAATTTCAAAAACTAGATCAACCACTTAATTTCCAGCCCATGTTTTTGATCTCATCTCAGAGGTTCCGCTCTCTCTCTGAACGGGGCAAAAGTTAGGGGGGGTTATACAAACAAAAAGCCCTTTGCAATCCAGGATGAAATAAATAGATAAAGGTCTTTAACTCAGCAGGAAGTGGGACAGAAAGGTACCAAACACATAATTTAACCCAAAGAGCCTGTTCTACATCAGTTAAAAACTGAGAAATGAGGTTAAAACTCCACTTTTCATGGTCACCAAGAAGTGCAAAGAAACAGCATATTGCTGTAGCACAGGTTTTTAAAAGAAATGCAAAACTTCATTAAAGACATTTCTCCTTAAAAACACAAGTTACAACTGAGCTCATGAAAATGTGAATAAATAAATCACTGTCTAAACCCACAAGAACCTTAAACACACCCCCTTCACCCCTGGGATGGGAGGTTGAACTCTCCTTACAGCACTCCCACCTGTCTGAGAAAGGGCCAGTGCCTGGTCCCCTCTATGTTTTGCTGCTCCCTTCATTTTCCCCATCACAAAACCTCACAAAAAACACAGGGTTATTTTGGTTAAAGCACATTTCTTATTTGCCAACACTTTTCATGTTTCATGAGAATTAGTTTTCCCAGTGAATAATTACCCTTTCATGCAAAGCCTCTACCCCTTGAACCTGTTTTGGGAGCCTGTAGGGGGGAAAAAGGAACCACAGAAAATTCACATTATCCACTCTTCAGCCCCAAACTTGCACCGTGAGAGTGTGGCACAGCAGGGGTTAGCCCTGGGACGATGGTATGGCCATAGGGGAAGGGGTTGCTACATCTGCACACAGTTTTTAGCTGAGCACAGACCCCTGCATGGCTGCTGGATGTGGCAGCAGCATCCTCTGCAGCTGCGCCCAGCTGCTGCTCTCTGCAGAGCCGGCGCACGTGTGTGCACGTGGGGTTGGAAAGTTTACAAAATCATGAAGTTCCCCCCCCCCCTCCCCTTTACTGTCATTTGTTTATCACCACAAACCAAGGAGGGCTGCTTGCACAGTAGCAGCTGCATGACTGTGGCTGTGGCACATTTGGGGTGCAGCCTGGGGGGGCAGGACCCCAAGCCAGAGGCTTTGTCCGCTTTTCCAGCAGTTTCAGTAGGTCCTAGAAAAGATTCTACCCAACATTGTCTGCTTTTCTGAGCTAAATGGGTAACACAAATGGATTTACTCCCTGGTGGCTTTGCCCCTGTCCTCTCTGCTCTGGGTAACTCTGTGTGTGTGGTACCTGCAAGCTGTGCCCTATGGAAGCCCCCAACCCACCCACTATGCTCTGGCTTTCTTTGGCTCCAACTAGGCAGATTAAAGAGGCAGTTTCAGCTCTAGCCCAGCCTGGCTGCCTCTGCTTTAGGCTGTGAACAGGTCACTCACCCCCCCTGATCTGACCCTGTGGCAATAATTCTGATTAACTTCTGAAAAGTTAGGGGTTAAGGTGCTGCTGAGAAGCAGTTTTGACTCAAGTAGAATAAGTGATGTAAAAACAAGCCTTGCTGGAACCCCACACCTGCTGGGATCTCCTGAAGAATCTAAAAAAACCCCACAAGAGACAGAAAGGTACCAAACACACAATTTAACCCAAGCAGCCTGCTCTCCATGCAGAGCATTTGTTTATCTCTGTATGTACCTCATAGGACTGCAGGCGTGATAGACCTTTCCTGCTGCTGCAGAGGATCCTGCTGGCTTTGGAATGTACTCTGCAGTCACACAGAGGTGCCACAGCAGGTCCTTACTGCGTTTGAGGAGACATGGAGAGTTGCCATCTCCTCCAAAGCAAAGGTGAGTGGCTACAGTGTCTGATCATGGCTGTGTGGGGCCACTTCCAGAGCCACACCTGGGGTAAAGAACTAACAGCTACTCTGAACATGAACATCCCACGTGGGCTCAAGTCAAACGCAGAAGGAATTTGCTCCTGTTTTTCCCCTGCCTAGGCTTTTACTTGAGCATGTTGCTCAGAAAAATCTCAAACCGTGATTTCCCATACGCGTGCATTGCATTTTCACACAAACATTCAGCAGAGATTGGAACTTTTTGAGTGGTTCTACCTCTGAAGCCGTGAAGACTATCAAGGTTCATTTCATACCTCGTTGGGCAGGGCCAGGTGGGCAGATTCCTCTTTCAGTGCTGCCTCCTCAAACCCATCATCAGCATTTTGACCCAAGTCACTCTCCAGTGTAAAACTTTGACTTCAGACTCAAGGCTTGGCCATGGCTCTGCTTTTTCTGCTCTTTCCCTCTTTTTTCCCCCCCCTCTTTCCCCTCTAACTTTTATCCCCTTCCACCACCAGGTGCTTTCCACCTTCCTTAAAACCAGTTTTCTTGCTTGTTGAGCATGACTGTCACTCGAGATTGTCCTTCAGGAGTGAGAAAGCCCCAGGGACAGAGTCATGCAGTGATGTAAGCACAGTGCACTATATCCTGACTGATCATGGTTTATTATGCATGGGCACCATGGAAGAAATGAGGTTTAGGAGGAGGAATAAAGAGGAGCATCAGGACTCGGAGGCACAATGAGGAGAGCTGGTTTGAGGGCTGTAACCCTGGGTAGCTCATCTGGGATGTGGGACAGATTCTGGCTTGTGTGGATTTTTCTCTGCTTCAGAGAGTCCCAGAGAAATTCTGTGATGTGCCAGCATTCAGCATGAAGGGAGTTGCTTGATTTATTCCTCACAGCAGTCTCAGGAAGTGATCAGATATACATCAACTGTGCTCAGAAGGGTCATGAATAACTCAGCAAGGAGTTAGCTTACTATTAGGAGTGGTGAAATGACTGAAGTTGTATCCTGCACAGGGAATTATTTTGAGTTCACTCATTTTCCTGAAACATAAACCACAACAGAAACAATTTCCAATTCTGACAGTTATCTACCATTAGCATGACTGTTGAATTTGGCAAAGCTAACAGGAGAGTGTCATTAAGAATTAGGCCTTCTACAGCATGGGGCAATCAAAATGCCCTCATTCCTCCAGCTGCTCTCAGCAGCTTCACCACTGGATGAGAGTCACAGGTACTTGGAAAGAGAACAGAAAGACATTAAGTTGTTTGGAATAGTGTAGGCTAGAAGATATATATGGAGGGAAAATATCTTGCATTATCCTTGCTCTCCCTTGGCAGTAGTGCTACAAAGATGCCTGCTTGCCTACGTTTGCCTGAGCAAATGGCATCAGAGTGTCTGAAAAAAGAAAAATATAAATGCTTATTTGCCTTAACAGCACACCCACCAATGAACAAGAAAGCTTTACCACAACACCAGTGGTCTGTCTTTCCTCTCTTCCTTCATGCTTGATCAGAAACCTCATTGATGATCTTAACCCAGTGATTTGCCAGAGCTAACACAGAGCAGTAAAATCATAAAGAAAGATGACACAGCTGTGAGAAGAGTGTTGGAGAGCAGATAAGGCCACAGGGGAGGGAGAGATGGACACCAGCATGGTGTCTCTGCCTCCTTTCCTTCACCAGCTGGCGCTTCTCACTGTTTGGGCATGGAGTGGGAAGATGAAAGGCAAGCAGTGCACTGGTGTTCACACCCTGTGAGCCCCCCTGTTTGCACTGCACAGCAGGCAGAGAGGGCTGGCTCTGCTCAGGCTGGGTGACACCACACCTTCACCACAGGCACAGCGCTGGGGTCGGCACCCAGCACCCCTGCACGTGTGTGGTTCGATTGCTGCATTTGTTGAGCTGGAAAAAAAAAAAAAACAAACCAGAAGAATAAAAAGAGCTATAAACAAACCAGAAGGCAGGCAGTGAAGCAGCTGGCATCACCTCCTCTATCTGATTTGAGAGGGACTTTTCTTAAAGCAAAGCCCTTCCAAAAAATCCTCTCCTTTTCAGGGCACTTCTACAGAAATGAGTCTGCCTGCTTGCTTAGGCTGTGAGTACAGGGGCCCTCAGAGAGTGACGTGGAATAACTTAGCAGGGAAGAGACTAATCCTGGGAGTTTACAAAAACAGACATAATGCCAGCTGCTGACCATTTAGAGAAGCACCCAAAATCCAGACTTTATATAAATCTGATGTTGTTTTGCAGGATACAACTCTGCTATCATGGTGTGGATTTCACATCAGCTTCCCAGGTATCCTCCTCCACCCTGAGTATGACAGCGTGGAGCAGGGAAGGAGCTGATATGTGCAGGAAGTGCTGATGGACACTCAAATTTGAGCACTACACGCAGTACAGGTGCCTTACCAGGGGAATACAGGTGCCTTACCAAGGGAATACAGGTGCCTTACCAAGGGGCCCTGAGGTCTCTGCGTCATGGGCACTGCTGGCAGGAGCTACTGGGCAAAGGCAGCTCTGTGCACACACAGTTTCACTGAAGGCAAGCCCAGGTGGAACCCACATGAGCTGAGTGCATCCGGCCCGGTCTCCTCATCTGGACTCGTGTGAAACTGCAGCACCAAAACCTCTACTGACACCAAGGAGTGGGCAAAAGAGCCAAACCTGGCAAGCTGCTGAGAAATTTCACATTTCAGTGGTCACACACCACTTTGCCCGAGTGACTCATTTGTCCAAACAGAGATAAAAGGAGTTTTCTGGTGTCGCTGCAACACTGGGAGTGCAAAGCAAGAGAGAGCACGTTACTGGGGTGAAGCTGAGCAAG